CGACGACGGCGCGAGGCTTGCCTTTTTCTTAACTCTTTAAGAGCTAGAAGAAGAGCAATTATATATATACCCATCAAAAGCCTTTTCTTCCTCCGATATGGGACAATGTCCCTTTCCCAAGGGAAACTCAAATATTTTATTTTTCCTCCATTTCTCATTCTCCCTCTTTAAGCTACACAAGCTTAAAATCCCAACATAGGCACCTTTTGGATTGCACCTCTCCATCTCACCCTTCCTTTGTCTACAAATTTAGAGGCTTGGCCTCATTTTTAGAAATGAAAAATCTGAAATCTTCTCCCCTCTTTCCTACATTGTTGCATTATTTTCTAAATAAACATAAGTGTCAAGTGTGATTTGCTTCGTTTGTTGAGTTCGCTGAAGTTCTGTGATTTGAAGTGCCGCTATCACAGAATAGTTATTCCGTTCTATCTTGGGAGAAATTAATCCGTATAACTTGGGCAACAGTGAGGGAATTAAATTCCTTAAGGACACACTGTGAATTCAGTGGGTTCGGATATAATTTTATTCTTCCTATGCATTTCTGTTTCTCTTTTACTTTACATGTTTTCTGATTTTGAATACAGATTACCAACAATCTTAAGAAATTTAGTATTATTTTTGGAAGGATGATAAAAGGAAAAAACGGAGCGGAATCATAAGTACATGGAAAGATTGCAAAGAAAAACTTCATGGTGTTGAAGAAATGGAAGGTGTTGATGTTTTAAAAAGAACTGGCTTTATCAACCATTGGGATACTTACCGTGGTCCTAGAAATTAAATGTCAGAGAATAATTAGCTCTCAGGCATGAAACGAAGAAAAAGAATTTCGCTTCTGGTTTATATATAAAGTAAGCTTAATCTAATGTGTCCTATCCATGGAAGAATACACAATTCCTTCAACCTTGATAGAGAAGAGAAGTGACGTGAAGTTTTCAAATTGGCAAAGAGATATTGTTACTACAGTAAGTGCTTGGTCATGCACGTCGTCGTGGAAAGACAATCAATCTATATATCTATATAATTGCGGGAATAGTATAGCTGATGTGGCACCTTCCACCGAAGAGGGTTGATATTTTTCTTTTTCCTTGTTTATTTATGTTTTTCCCTATTTTCTCCTATTTATATTCTTTTATGAGAAAAGAAAAAACTCAAACGTCGCGTTCTTCTCTTCAATCCTTTTTGTAACTGAAATTGCTTGCAACGCCTTTGCTATTCAACTCTCTCGCTCCTGTCGCAGATGCCTTTCGCCCTTCTATACAACGCCCTTTCAGAGCCTTCTCCTCTATTCTAAATTACCACGAATAGTTGATTTTTTTTTTTATTAGTTGAAGATTTCAGCCTCATAGGGCGAATCGTTTGCGGCAGGATAATGGAAGATTTGGTTATCAAAATTCAAAGGCGGATTAGGGTGATTTCAGATTGAATACATTCCTACGACCTACGACAACAGGTAAATGTTTACCGTCCTTCTGTTCTTCATTTCTTGTATTTATTTTGAGTTTCAATTTCCTATTTTGTCTTCGACTCTTTGATAGAAATTAGTCAATGTATGTAAAACATCAACAGCTTACTTCAATTGGGTTCGGAAAGATGGTGCGGTGGAAGATCCAATCTTACTTCTGATGTCTATATGCCCAGGTGAGTATAAAATTATAAATTATGGATGCCAATTATAGAGTTTGATCTATTTCCTGTAAGGTGTTTTAAGTTGATTTTGATAGTAGTAGTAGTAGTAGGGACATATCTGGGACTAAGGAGGAGCAAAATCAAAGTCAATGAGTTCCCACAAGTGGGGTCTAGGAGGACTAAAGAGAAGGAAATGAGAAATTTANTATGGATACCAATTATAGAGTTTGATCTATTTCCTGTAAGGTATTTTAAGTTGATTTTGATAGTAGTAGTAGTAGTAGGGACATATATGGGACTAAGGAGGAGCAAAATCAAAGTCAATGAGTTCCCACAAATGGGGTCTAGGAGGACTAAAGAGGAGAAAATGAGAAATTTGTTCGATTGATGCAGTAAAGTGCTTCGGCATTGGGCTTTACTTTTCTTTTTGTGCAATTCTTTTTTCTGCCTTTAACTAGAAGCTCCAGTTCATTTCGGTAGTTTGTATCTTATCAATGTGCATTCATTTGAGGCTTTGCTTGGAACTATGAATATGAAATTTGCACACGGTGGTGTAGTCTTAATCTTGACTCCCTGTGCTGTGAGTAGAAGAAATAGTTTACATAAAATTTTATAAATTGGTGAGAGAAGAAGAGAATGATATTTAAGAAAATTATATAAGGCATGAGAAAGGCTAAGAGTGTAATATTCAAGAAAGCTATAGAAGGCATGAGAAAGGCTTTCACTTTGACGCGCAAATAAATAATGAGTTTATATGGAAAAAGAAAGGTATCACGGGTTCTTTATGTTTATCAAGCTTCAAATGCTAGATCTTTAATAACCATAAATACACATCTTGATCTTTCATACTGCTTTCATACTATTGATGCAGCATTATCAAAGATAAAGCTATATTCCGTATATGCATAAATATCTTTTGCCCAAGAGCATACTGAAAAAAGAAAATGTGATTGACAAATTCAAATTTTCTTTCTATTATTTTACAAGTTCTCAGTATAATGAGTGGTCCATCAGTTTTAACTGTCTTTGGACTTTAGTGGAGTAATGTTATATTTTTTTGACTCTTTTTTGTGTAGAACAGTTGAACAAAAGCTTTTACAGAAAACAGAACATAAGTTATTGTCTTCTCTTCTTTCGCACATGTCTTTTCATTAAATCAATACTGTTAAAGTGATTTTGTTGGCTTTTGTTATGTATCCTTCTGCCGGCTATATGATTGATGTGTTCTCAATTTATATAATACTCCTTAAATGATATGACTATTAATGACTTAAAATATTGATATCTTACTTTACTTTTATGTTCTAAACTATTGATGCTTGATTATAGATCATCATATCATTGCAACAACTTGTCTTGCTCTTGCTCCCTTCTGAAGTTGCTGATTTATCCTTCAGGTATCTATTGGAGATATGATTGCTTGTGACAATAAAAATATAAGTTTTCTTTGTTCAATGCTTATTGTTTGTATCCTTTACTTAATTGTTATATTTTACTTTTCTTCTGTATACTCCTATGTAATTAGAGATTATTATGAACCTGATTACTATTTGCTAGAAGACAAAGCAAGTCAATATATTTTTAATGCCTCTTGACTTATTTTCAAATATAACGAGCATGACTATTAGCTCAGGACAAGTACTAAATACTATTGATGAAGAGATATAAAGGCAAGCAGAGCAAATGGAAAAAAGAGAAGATTGATTAATATAAAAAAGAAATTATTTGGTTGCATGTCAAGTAAGATAAACCTTACATGTTGAAATATATTTATGTTTTGGATAATACACATTCCTCCATGGACTGCTTTTAGGTCTGCATCATATCATGTTCATAAATTTAACGCTGGTGGTGCTAAATGCTATTCATGTTCATAATATCGGATGTTTCACTTCTTACTAAAATAATTACATTTGCACTATTGCATCTGAATTTGTGTTTTAACGTGTTTTAAATGTGCATTTTGATCTATTCTATGACATAGTACTTTTTGATAGATAAAGTAAGTTGTGAGGAGCTAGGAGCACAGGGATATGAATTGAATACCGTCTACCCAACTGATGCGTTGATGATTCTATACTTCTACAAAAGTTGGCTTGGGACCTGAAATATATGAACCTTTCAGATTTCTTGAAGAAACATATTTGCTATTCTAGGAGCATTAATCTGCACATTTTCAGTTGATCTGTACTTTGATACAGTAAATTATGATACTTATTAGATGAAAATTATGGGTTTATATCTTATAGTTTTCAATAATAGGGTGAGTTGCATTACTTGTTGGATGCCACTGCTTCATTAGGGGTTGTAAGATTGAAATATGAAGCCTGACCTACTGGATTACTTACAGCTTAAGTGCTCTTGAATTGAGATCACAGGTTGCTTTGTCATTTTAGGAGTACATTGCCAAATACTGTTCTCTGATTCCTAAACTATTCATTTATATTGCAGAAGAATCTAAAATGTCTTAGGAATATATAAAACATCTACATACAATATGTACATATTCTTTAACTGTTATTTATTATTTTAATATTCCTTATATGTTTCGTTGTCCTTAAGTTGATTGTGATAGTATTATGCTTCTTTTTGCATTGTGTCAAAGTTCATTGACTGTCACAACAAAAAGAAAATAAAACAGCACCTATATATACGACTTGTATTTTTTACGGTAATTGAGATCATCAGGACCAAAAGAAAGGTAAACAAAAAGACAATGGAAAAGGAACAAGAGGAGGAAGAGAAAGAACTAATACAGTTTATATGCATCAAGATATGAATAAGTAAATATTCATCATTTAACTTATATATGCATTTGGCAAAAGAAAATATTTGCATATATCCCAAGTCACGGGGAGTAAAGTGACGAACTCAAAAATAATAAGAATAATATTAAAATAAAAGCAACAACTGTTATTTAGCTATGTCATATTACAAGATAATTTTGAGATAATTTGAGAAACTAGAATATTATATTATAAAAGGTGTGACTTGAGTAGCTTGACATTCAAAAAAACACAAAACATGAAAGTAAAAAGAATCGGGTCCAAGAGCAACAATGTTTTGCTATTCTTTGAATCTTTCTTAAATACATAGAACGTGAATAAGCTTCATTAGTAATAGATAAATAACTAAAAGTTATATAGAAGTATACGTTCTAATCGAACAAAATTTATGAATTAACCCAAATATATGTTAATTATTTATAATTTTCTCCTAACATTATAAGCATGCTTTTCTTTTTATAAATTTAAATATATCATTTTATGATCGCGCGAAGCGCGAGCAAATTTACTGGTCATCATATAGATGAAGGTCATAGTGATGATCGGTAGTTATCGTATGGCACAAACGCCAAACGAGGGAAAAGCAAAATTGAGCGTGAAAGGGTGCAAAAGGAAAGGTTGTGCCTCTTTAGAAAATCAGAAGCGATTATGATTTTGAAATGGCACAAATGGCAAATTCAAAATAGTGAATCAAGAAGAAAGTGGCCAAAATATCGGGTTCTATTTTTTCTCTTCATTCTTTAATTTTTGTGTCCTATGTGATATATAAAATATTCTATAAATAGGATTAAATGCTTATTATGATCTCAAATATGTTCTATTTGCATGCTGTGAAACTAATTGGTTGGTAGACAATTTGGTAGCATGCATGAAATTATGTGATATTATTTTTAAGGTCGTAAGATATGAATTAGGCTTACAGTAATACTTGAAATATCTTGAGATCATGAATAGAATATATGTAAATATGTACATATATATGTTTGATTAGAGAAAGAGATCAAACGGTTTAAAATGTTATAATGGTTTAGTTGGAAAACCATTTGGAAATGGAATTAAAATTCTCTTGGTTTTTCTATACCCATTATGGAGAATAAAATCTTCATGATTTTCTACTCCTGCTTCGAGATCAAAATCTGCGTATTTTTTACTCGTTCATTGAGATTAAAGTCTTCGTGACTTTCTACTCATTTGTCGGAAATTAAAGTCTAAATGACTTTATACTCGTTTTGGAGATTAAAATCTTAGTGATTTTTTACTCCAATTTATTATTCGGTTTGAAGATTAAAAAATTCACCATTTATTAAATTTGATTGTGTCATATATTATTTGGTTTGAAGATTAAAAACTTCACCGTTTAGTAGATCAAGTTGTATCAGATGTTACTCGATTTGATGATTAAAAACTTCACTGTTTATTAAATTTGATTGTGTCATATATTATTCGATTTGACGATTAAAAATTTCACCGTTTAGTAGATCATGTTGTATCATATGTTACTCGGTTTAAAGATTAAAAACTTCACCGTTTATTAATTCTGAATATGTTAGATTGGTTTTGAAGATTAAAAAGTTTACCATTTATTAATTCTGGCTCTGTCGTGACACAAACAACAATTCTTGTGGTTGGCTCAACAACATAATAGGGGCGTCGAATATGAATCTTCTTTTGAAGAAATATGTTTAGAATATGAAATTATTCACCAAACGATCGCCCCTTAGTCACCGTAATCTAATGGAATTGCGGAAAGAAAGAATAGAACGTCAAAGGAGATGATGAATGCCTAGTTGATAAGTTCTGGTTTACCCAAAACTTATGGGGGGAAGCTATGCTTACAGCTAACCGAATACTCATTCGCGTTCTCCATAGCAAGACACAATCCATTCCATATGAAAAATGGAAAGGAAGAAAACCCAACTTGAAATATTTCATATAAAATACAAGTTTTTAAACCCAAAAGGATAAAAATCGGATCGAGAACTGTCGATTCCGTTTTCATAAGATATGCAACAAATAGTAAGGCATATCGCTTTTTGATTCATAAATCAGAAAATCCCGATATTCATATTAATACGGTAATCGACTCAAATAATGCTGAATTCTTTGAGAATATTTATCCGTATAAAAAGGAATGTGAGTCATCTAGTAAAATATCTAAGCGATCTCGGGAAGAAGCAAAGGAAAATACACCTAATGAGGTTAATCCAAGACATAGTAAACGTCAAAGGACAACTACTTTCTTTGGACCAGATTTTCTAACATTCTTGTTGGAAAGTGAGCCTCAAACATTTAAAGAAGAAATGTCTTGCTCGAAAGCACAATGTTAGAAAGAGGTAGTCAATAGTGAGATATTATCCATATTAAGTAATCATACTTGGTAATTGGTTGATCTTCCTCCAGAAAATAAACTTTTGGGTTCTAAGTAGATTTTCAGAAGGAAAATGAAAGCTGATAGTACTATTGACGAATATAAGGCAAGATTAATTACCAAAGGATTAAGACAACGAGAAGGTCTTGATTACTTTGACACATACTTATCGGTAACGAGAATTACATCTATTTGGATGATAATAGCGTTAGCCACCGTGTATGGCCTTGAAATCCATCAGATGGACTTAAAGACAATCTTCTTAAATGGAGATTTAGAGGAAGAAATTTAAATGGAACAACCTGAAGGGTTCGTGGTTCCTAAAAAAGAAAAGAAGGTGTGTTGACTTGTTATGTTATTTTACGGACTAAAACAAGCATCCAAACAATGACATGCGAGATTTGACCAAATAATATTATCAAATGGTTTCAAAATTAATGAGTGTAAACAAATGTATTTACCTTAAGAATACTTCAAATCATATAGTCATTATTTAATTATATGTGGATGATATGTTGATGAAGTATTTAAAATGTGGGGGCTTTTAGCTTATGCATGAAAAAAGCCAATGTTAGATGTAATGTCTAAATGATATAATTTTTTGAACCCCACCAATCCTTAGTGGATATTGATATGATAGTCGGTGAATTCATTGCTTGCTCAGTCTTAGTGATGACTAGTGATGAAACTACAAATTCGAAATTTGTTTACGTGCCATTCCAGAAATGATTTGTTCTTTCTTGAACATTTATAATGTTTAGCTTTTTTATGAAAGGGTGTCACCGGGAACTCTACAACTTTTCATGAAAAGTGCATTTATATATTTTGTATAAACATAACCGTTCATGGACGAATGTATTAATATGTTGGTCTATAATGAGGTGAACCAATCGATGAACATGACCAAAATTCATTGTAAGTTGGATTTGTTTCATGAATGGAGGTGCTATAATTTGCATATCATATAGGCGTATGAATAAATAACATACAAATGCTTGAAAATGGCAGAGTGATTGATAAATGTGTTATATATTAAAAGGTTGTAGCCACAACTGATGCCAATCATTCCGGCTATTGTTATAATATACTATTACTACATTAAGCTTAATCAATAATCTGATATGCAATCGAAAGTCGAGACGTATTAGTCTACGACATAAGAAAGTTTGCATTGAACTTTGTCAATGAAACGAGTTTTGAGGTATTTGAAATATACTATAAATTATGCTTTGCACTACAATAAGTATCCCGCGATAATAGAGGGGTATAGTGATGCAAAATAGATCACCGGTTCAACCGATTCTAAACAGTCGGTGGAGGAGCGATGTCTTGAAAATCGTCCAAACAACTATGCATTAACCGCTCTACAGTGGAGGCTGAGTTTATAGCCTTAGACAAGGACGGTGAAGAAGCCGAATGGCTCCGGAATTTCTTGGAAGATATTCCATTTTGGCCCAAACCTTTGGCACTTATATGTATATATTGTAATAGTCAAGCGACAATAGGTAGGGCAGGGAGCGTTATGTATAACGGAAAATCTCGTCACATTCGATGGAGACATAATACCGTTAGACAACTACTCTCTAGTGGTGTTATCATGATTGACTATGTAAAGTCAAGAGATATCGTATCAGATCCACTTACAAAAGGCCTATCTAGAGAGGCAGTTGAAAGATCATCGAAGAGAATGGGGCTAAGGCCTAGGACAAGTCATCATGGCGGTAACTCTACCTAGCAGACTGGAGATCCCAAGAGCTAGGTTCAAAGAGATAAAACAATGTTATGAATGATGGTTCAACATTGTCAACTAACTCAACCCATTCTCGTGATGAAGACAATGTTCAGAAATCTAGGTAAAGCATTAAGGTTTTTTGATGAGCCGATAAAGCTTAAAGCTTTTTAATGATTTGCTAAGTGTGGCAGGATATGACCAGATAGTGTGTCTATAGGATTACACGTTTAGAAATCACCTATGTGAGTGTGAAGTGTAAGCCACTTTAAGGGGAATAAAAGTAAAGGCCCATTCTCTAAGCACTCATGAAACCATGCGGTATTCATGGCTGAAACGAACACAATCGTGAGAACCAAAGACGGTTAAGGATTGATTGTATGACTTATGGTTGTCTAAGTATACACCAAAGCTCGACGGTTCAAAGATATCAAATCTACCGATTGACCGAGCATATCCGACATAAGTTCACTACGGAAAGTTCAAAGGGAAACTTACTTATCCAGATGCGATTAATTCTTATTTGCGAATCACACAGTATTTTCATGCATGTTTTTCCACATTTGTCCATTCTCCATTCATGTGGGGGATTGTTGCATTTTTTCTTTAAAGGGTGTGAATGGGAAATGGAAGAGGCACCTTTTGGATTGCACCT